CAATATATATATCAATCATAAATATTGGAGAAAAAACATTTAATTTCGTTGAAAATGGTCTTTTTGAGCGGTCCTAACGCAAACAATTTGTATTGGATGTGAATAGACTTGGTAGTTAATGTAGTGTATTAATTTGGCAGGTGCTGCACTTTCGTTTGCTTTCGGAGCAGCAGTAGGTGGAACTTTTGGAATTGAAGTGGCTAACCACTGGTATCAGTTATATAGGCTCGACACAATGGCTTCACAGGTTAAATTCTTCGAGTGGCTGCAGAAGAGAGCTTGAGGAGAAATTCTCAATTTTTCGGTAATTTGACAATAATAATAGTTTAATTGTGTTTGTGTGACGGATTGTACTTCACTTCGTTATCTTTTTTTCTTTCTTTTCTTTACTTCGGTTTGGATTTACCGGTGGTTTTTCGAGTTGAAGCTTTTTTGTTATGAATAAAGATAAAAGACCAAATTCTTCAGAAAATTGTATCATGCTGGAATTATTTACAAATAGTTGAAAGGCATATGTTACTCTAACACTTGACTACGATGCTAAAATTAGCCAGTATGACAAAGATATAAATGATCAAAATAATCCCGGTGAATTGCGAACCTCTAAATATTTCGGGAAATAATCGAGACCGGGATTAATTGAATCCCTAAATAATCCCTAAATATTTACTCTAATGGAATTAATCGTGAATTCGGGATCGAGGCCGGGAAATCCCAAATTTCGCCTAAGAAATAGAGCAATTCTTTTCCATTCTTTAAAAATAGAAAAATATTATCCAACAAAATAAAATCCCACAATTTTGCAGAAAACAAAAACATGAACATGTACTGGATTTTCGTTCAGGTCGGTCGGTTTACCGACCGGATGAACACCCCTTTATAAATTTGACAACGTAATAGTGAATGTGTAAGGAAATACATAGTTGAGGAGTGACTATAATTACGCAAAATACAAAGTGTTTTTTTTTGGTAATTTGACTTTACCTCAGGGGTGACCCGCAATTTGCCCTTAATCGTAAAGCGGGATAGAAAAAAGAATGGGAAAATTACTGTCTTCACCTCTCAAGTTTGCATTGATTCCACGTTTGGTCCCTCATGTTCACAAAAAAACACATTTGGTCACACATGTTTCAATAATTTCACATTTTTTGTCATTTCCATTAATTTACCGTTAGTTGTCAGTTAAAGTAGTGACGGGAAAACACTTGATTCCGTTAGTACAAACGGAAAATTGATGGAAATGACTAAAAATGTTGAATTTGGAAACATGA